TCCTCCGTGCCCCCCCTCAGGCCTCCTCGATCTTCATATCAAATGCCAAGTGCGAGGAGGTCATGGACTTCTTTTCATCTAAAATACATAACATCTGCCAGGCAGCCTCATCCACCTGCCCCTTGTCACCCACCACCACATCCTCTCTGTCCCTCTCACCCTCCCCATCATCTGCTCCAACCACCATCCCCATCCTACATTCCTTCCTCCCCATCTTGCCTTCCTCCCTCTCACCCACCATCACCTCCATGAAACTCACCACCTGCTGCCTCGACCCCCTCCCCACCAATTTGCTGGTCACCCAGCTCCCCCTCCTCTGCCCACTACTGGCTGACGTCATCAACCAGTCCCTCTTCCGGATCAGTCCCTGCTCCCCTCAAAACTGCTGTCATCACCCCACTCCTCAAAAATCCCCAGCCACTACCGCCCTATTTCTAACCTGCCCTTCCTCGCAAACGTTCTAGAACGCGTTGTTGCCAATCCACTTCGCACACACCTTTCGCTCCCTCTTCGAACCCCTCCAGTCCGGTTTCCTCCCTGCTCACAGTACAGAGACTGCGCTTGTGAAAGTCACAAACAACATCCTCTCTATCTGTGACCAGGGCTCCCTCTGCCTCCTTGTCCTCCTGGACCTCTCCGCCGATCACGCCATCCTCCTCCACCACCTTTCCTTCGTCATCCACCTCAGTGGGACCACACTCGCCTGGTTCGAGTCCTACCTCACAAACCGCCAGCAGTACATCTGCACAAACGGCTTCTCCTCCCGCTCTCACCCGGTTACCTGCGGGGTACCCCAAGGATCCGTCCTTGGCCCCCTCCTCTTTCTGATCTACATGCTCCCTCTTGGGGATATCATCCACAGACATGGGGTACATTTCCACATGCATGCGGATGACACCCAATTCTATTTTTCCACCTCTCTTTGCGAACCCCAGTTCACCGATGTTCTGTCAGCCTGCCCGACAGACCTCAGGGGCTGGATGAGCGCAAATTTCCTTCAGCTGAACGTTGACAAAATGGAAGCCATATTCTTTGGCTCTCGTCAACGTCTAAAATCTCACGGTTCTCACCTCCTCCACCTACCCGACCTCCCCATAAAACTCTCCAAACCCGTACGCAACTTAGGCGTCAGGTTCAACCCCCAATTATCCTTCCTCCCCCACATCCGGTCCCTCACCAGCACCACTTTCTTCACCTCCAACGTATCGCCCGTCTCTGCCAATACCTCTCTCCGAAAGCCGCTGAAACCCTGGTCCATGCCTTTGTTACCTCTCGGCTGGACTATTCTAACCTGTTCTAACTATTCTAATCTAAACTATTCTAACTATTCTAACCACGCTGGTCTCCCATCCATTATCAGCCATAAAATCCAGATTATTCAAGCGTTGAGGGCGCTATATAAATCCGAGTTGTTGTTGTCAGGTTTTCGGCCAATCTGTCCCCACTCTCTGAAACTCCATCCTGGTGTCTCTGCAACTTGTCCCTTCCCTCACTTCCTTCAAGGTCTGCCTTAAGACCTTCCTCTTTGACTGCTCCTTTTGGTTATCTTTCCCCCTTCGGCTCTCTTCGCCAGCTTGGGTGCAAACCTGGACTGTCCAGGACCTTGGGACGTCCTACTGACATGAAAGGTACTATATAAATGTAAATTTGTTGTTGTAATCAACAGCTGAAATAAGTTAACAGGAAGAGGATGAGAAATCAGGACATTAGACTCAATAGATTTACATCGATAGATTCCAAAAAGTAACTTGATGCTGTAATGGAAAGATGGTAGGTTTGGTAGACTGGAAGGATGTAATTAAATGGGTCAAAGCATATTCTTTACGCAAACCTCTCTTGAGGACTGGATTCAATTGCATGTTGTAGCAAGAGTTCTCACCATTACGAAAGTAGCGGTTAGGGAGGAAATCCACACATGAGTACAGTGCTGTTTCAGCAATGCTGTCTGAACATATTTTTAACATTGGCCTTGTATTATAAATCTATTCTGTTGAATCAATGGTTTAGAAATTCATTTTTTAAAAAGCGGTAAATATTTGGGGATATTTTTCAGCAAAGAAGAAAAATTTATTCATATCACCCCTCCCTTGCCACCTTCAAGACCCATCTCAAGACCCTCCTCTTCGACCGTGCTTTCGATCTTCCTGCTTCCCCACTCTGCTCTCCACCCTTCCCAACCCCCAGCTCAGATTTGTAACTCTGTCTGTCCAGCGCCTTGGGACGTCCTCCCGGCGTGAAAGGCGCTTTACAAATGTAATTTTGTTGTTCTCAGAGCATGTATTTTTGATGAAAAATTCCTCTTAATCAACCTTCTGACATTTTGGACGAAGACCAGGTCTCCAGGTCATTGGGGATTTTAAATCCTACACTTTGTTAAAACTTAAAGTAACACATCTTAGAATAACTGTAATTTAAAGAGAAAAATGATCACACAAACATCATCAGTCCATCTGAAAAGCCTAGTCTTTTGTCCTTGGGTGGGAGCCTGAACAGGACAACAATCTTGGCAGGATAAGCCATGAAGATCCATTGTTCTGTTCCTCAAAATATGGCATTGAGTTGAAGTTGTGTCCGTAAGATTATTCCATTTATTTTTCTTGGTTTGACTATTTATTTCAATTGTTTAGGTTAATACTAAACGATGAGTAACTCAGTGAGCATAAAAAATTACACCGATAGCTTTGAGTATGAGTGATTAAGAGAAAGAGTAAATTTGCTTGACCAAAAAAAGTAATGTCTCTTAAGTTGTAGTTGTCGCCTTTATTGACTTTTAAATGTTACTCTTGTCATTGGTAAAATAACTCCCCATGTAGCTAGCTCATCAATCTTGATTAGGAACATGCCAGTTAGGCTGTTGATATGTTTGCAGATTTTGGATTGGAAAGAAATGATCATCTTGAAACATTTTGAAATGGGATGGAACAAATTTAAAATTAATTAAACCCATCTGCTTTAGAGGAACACACTATCCACTTCACTAACTGTAGTGAGAATCAGTAATAATGTATACATTCCACCAATGAGCAAGAAAACCTTTTGTTAAAGTGTCCTACTTGGAAATCCTGTTTAAAGTTAATCTTGCATATTAACCCTTTTAAAGGCTGGGTCATAAAATTTGAAGGAAAATTACAGAATTGTCATATTTTCAAGTTCAATTGTGAAATTGTAATACTGAAGAAGGAGAGGAAGAAGAAGAAAGTCAAATGATTAACAGAACGCGTAGAGACTTAAACGTTATCGTACTCGTTTGTTTCCGAATATAATGGCTAAGGCAAGAAACCACATGAATGAATCTATAGCCTCTTTTTGCTCCTTCCCCTCAAGATATATGCCATTATATCACCAATATACCAATGTGAAATAGTATGGTCTGTAGGAGGGGGTGTAGTGGGGGTTAGGCTACAATAAAAATGTACAATGGCACTGACTATGAATTTTCCTACATTTGAGGTGAATTTTATTTTTTAAAGGAAAATGATTTGGGAATGTAACCTGAGTTATTGGCAGTTTTAATGTTGCTTCCATCTCAGGGTAGAAAAGTTGATTGTAAGGTTGAATATGCCAAAAACCATACAGTGGGCTTTGTGGCTTTTGGTAAAATTCCAAATATATTTATAAAAAGTGAAAGGTAGAAACAAATTGATAAATCGTGATCTAAGCCTCAAAAAAAATAGCAGATTCTAATATTGAACTATTTAGGGATGTGGTAGAGAAAGGCTCTACAGTCCTCAAAGGATAAATAAAGTTGCATATGGTTAAGTATTTTGAATTCTTTTGGTATTCATCCGTAAGGATTTTCATTTGTTTTAACTGTTTCTTTGATCATTAGATCAAACCTTTCTTAGATAAGAAAGGTTTTCCAATTGACAATGGTCAATTTATGACTGAGACCCCTGGATTCAGGACTTCATAACCAGAATCCAGGATTCACCTACAAAATATATAGTCAATTCACTTTACAGTATATTCTGTGAAGTGTTTTGAGACGTCTCAGAGACGTGATAAGGCGCTGTATCAAATGCAAGAATTATATTATTATTCATAATAAAAATCAATCAAAGGCATAGATTTATTGAAGCAACTGTTTAAAATATTGTACCCTCATTTGAACTGTACTTCGTAGTTGACTATCTAAATTACTTCTGACTATCAGTAACAAACTGGAACTTGCTAAAAACATATGAAAAGAATGGGCTAAGTCTTAGAAACCTATAGTGCAGAAGGAAGTAATTTGGTCCTTCGAGTCTGCACCGTCTTTCAAAGCAAGGTGTACTTTCAGTCCCACTGCCCTCTTATACTTCAAGCCTCCAACTTTCAGTTCAACTAAATGTGAAAGCTACATTTAAATTGAACAGTTGAAATCTGAGGTTGAAGGATTCAGAGATTGGTGCAACATGGGTTAATTCTTCACACAGTAGTTCCCAATCTCAACCATGTTGGAATTTCAAGTAAAGACTAGTCCAATGGAGCATGAAAAGAAAAGTAGAGGAAAGCCATCCCTGGGAGCAAGTTGTCCAATACTCAAATCCACAGAATATAACTTATAACAGTAATAAACCTTGCATTTGATATAGCACCTTATTACGTCTTTGAGACGTCTCAAAGCGCTTAACGTATAAATTAAAGTAAGGTTAGTTATTTATAGGAACATACAATTTCATAGCACTCCACGGGTTTTAACAGCAGAACACCCTCCTTATGTTTATAACTATTTTTACATTTGATTTACAGTGCATGAAGAATTGAAAGACAGTTTAGTGAATTTGAAGTTGCTTCCACACAAATTAGCTGCCTCACAAAGAATGACTCAACACGGTTTACTTCCCCGCATCCTAGGTTTTGAGACATGACTCATCCACCATTGTTTGACACGACCACAGCAGTAGGAGTGATTCAACTCTTATTTCCACTGCCTCTTTGATATGAGTAACAGCTGCTCTTCTTTCTCTCTCTCCCCCCTCCCCAAATCCTCACTTACTCTTGATTTCCTTCACCTGCAGTTGATTTGCCCCTGTACTTTCCACGGGATCAGCCCACTCTGACGTTCCAGTCAGTCTACCATTTTACCAGCAGTGGACAACTCTATCAGCAGATCCAGAAGTCCTACCCGTACAGTCCACGCTGGGATGGCAACGAAATGGCTAAAAGAGCAAAGTAAGTGTCTGTAAAGCTTGATTGATTCTCCCCCCTCCCCCACAAAGGACACACTGCTATGATAGTTCAGCCACCGCTATCAACTGCCAATCATTTTTAAAATACTCAGTTATCTTTTTAAAAAACCTTCAGAACATTACCTCAAATATCCTCCAACACAACGAGAAATATGGGGGAAACCAACCAGGGCCTAGGCTTGAGTGAATGGTCTTAAAATTTAAGATTGTGCAGAACTTTGGGAGAAAAAAATTAATTCAATCTTAATTCTGCATTTCTTAACAGTAACTGGCAAACTCAATTTAAGAATTTTTCAAAAGTCTATGCATTTAAGATAGTCTTAAGGTTAAGAACATGAGGAATTTCAGCCCTCAGGTAGGGTTCAGCTGGAATGCAATATCCTCAGTGCATGTTTGAAAGGCTGCAACTTTCAAACTTGATTCAGGAAGGACATGGAATACACGATGCTGAGGGATGGATTTGAAACCTAACAACTAGATATTTTCATCAGTAGTTAGTAAGCAAAGCCGAAACATCAATAAGTACTGTGACAGAGGCTATTTAGGGATGTTTTTGTACTTATAATTTATTATCTATTCCATGATTACAGAAGCATTTGTGCAACAAAATCAATATTGAAACAAGAACATAATGTCTTTAGTCCAACCATACTGTGAATGTATACATGTTTCTGTGTATTTCTCTGCATTTTTCGTATGATGCCTCTCTTTATAAACTTGCAGCATAATTGTGTAGGTTGAGAAACTGAACCACGTTGATGGATTTAGTTTTTTGGTTAATTTATTTGGTGCCTTCAGACACTTCTGTTCTTCATTGCAGTTGAATTATAAGCCAATTTATGTTCAAAGTAAAAAGCATTACTTTCAATATAAAATCAAATTCCCAAATTTAGTCACAGTACATCGCTTGATTTATAGGGGAAATTTAAATGTGATTAATTTTCATAGCAACATGGACACCTGTCATCTCGGCTTTCTAAATTTGCCATAAAGACCTGACAATAAGTGGTTTCAGAATATATATGCAGTTCAATATCCTTTCTGGTTCTGGCTGCAATACAGACATTTGAGCCTGGTTACTACTGTCTGAGTTTTGCATTGCTATAATAATGCCACTTAACTGCTCTGTACTAAGTTTGGAGTTTGGGCATTTTTTTTTCAAATTTGTATGAGTGCTTCAATGACATTATAACCTTTTCCTTTGACCTCTGTGATCTGGATAAGATCCAGCCCGGATTGCTTGGATGAAAGCACAGGTATTCTTTAATGTCCTCTATGTTAATGATTCTAAGTAAATGAATAAATAGTGATCTTGACTCAATTCATTGTTGGTTTGGGACCTCAGCACTAAGCAGCTTGAAATAGAGGATTTATATTTTACAGGCAAAAAAAACCTGATAACGTCATGGGTTCTCCCTGTGGAACTCCACACAGCTTATTTAATTTCCACAAAAATAGTATATTTGTGAGCGAAGGTAAAAGAAATTCATACATGCTTGTTTTCATATTTTCTGTGTGTGCCTTTGGCTACATTGTACTATCGTCGGCTGAACTCTTAATCGATACTGTTAATAACTGCTGGAGAAGACAACCTCTCAATCTTGTCTTTAATCTTATTGAATTATTATTCTGGAGAGAAGGAGTTTTTTTTTGTTTTTTTTTCCCCCATTTCTCTGGGCGTTTCGCCCACAAAATATACAGTCAGTTCACTTTACAGTATATTCTGTGAAGCCCTTTGAGATGTCTTGAAGACGTGATAAGGCACCATATTAAATGCAAGAATTTTTATGATTATAATAATCTCGCAAATGAAAAGGACCTTGTCTAACGTTTCTGCAACTATTGCATGTTCAACAAAATTAAGGGTGTTAGGATGGACTGCAGCCTATTGATGCAGAAATACCATACGAACACTAAGACACAGATATGTACTTGTGCTTTTGTCAGATTCAGTATATGTTTTCTAAACTGATTGGGGAAGGGAGGAAGTTTCCCTGGAAAGGGAGTACAAATTGCAGAGCAAGCAACAAGACCACTCTTGCACATCTCCCAGTATTTGGTTGCACATCAATGATCACTGGAGCCCTGGTGTGAGCTGCTGGGAAGAACTAAACTAGGGGAGTGGACAGATAGGTTATAAGTAGGAGGCAATTATATGTGTTAAAAAAAATCCAATATTTTTATAATATTGGGCCCAGAAGAATCGTCAGTAATTTGAAGCACATTTGTAAATTAGAGAGATACAATAATCCATGAGTAAATTGTTCACCCTGTCCTTGTTTTTGTAAGTTCTTAATCATCGCTCTCTCTTTTTACTCATCAGAGCTTACTTCAAAACCTACGTTCCTCAGTTCCAGGAGGCAGCCTTTGCTAATGGGAAATTGTAGTTGACACCAAGGTTGCAGAAGGAAGCCAATCAGACATCAGACAGATGCAGTTGTTTACTTTGATTTGTTCTTTACATTTTGTTCTTCCTCATATGTGATGAGTCTGACATTGGATATTGATATTTACTGCTACTTATTTGGTTGCATTTTATTCAGAGATCTGTTGTAACCTATGAAAATGTTTATTTTAATTGTACTTTGTCTCAGAATGTAATTCAGGCCTTATATTGCAAACATATGAATGCTTCAGATGGTTCTAAAAAAAAGGTCTGTGTTACAATAAACACTCCCATTACACAGCCTGAATGATCTGTTATATTATTAAAATAAAAATAATTAATTATGTTTGTTTTTCTTTGGTGTACAATTATTTAAATGTTCTTTTAATGAAATTCTGATTTATTGAGGTGGAATGTCCCATCTGAGGAATAGAATAGGAAAGCCAGGTAGAGCATGAGTTAACTGCAGAGTAAAGTGTACTCTATCCTGCCTGTACAACATGCCTTAACCCAAAATCAATTGAGCACCTCTCGTTCCATCATTATAAATGTTGGTTATTCCCGCAGAATTATTTTTTCTGATTGTCTGTTAGTGTACACTATTACTGAATGGTGAACGTTTTTGTATTCTAGATTCACATCTACTCATAACTGCATAGGGACTATAAAAAAATCACCTTGTGTTGGAACTTTATTGCTAGAGATAGAACTTATTTTTATCCCAACAATATTGGCTGTATTCCAATAGGGGCACACTCACAATAGCGTCTCCAAAAGGTTTGAAGAATGAATAAACTAATTGTGCTTCTGAGTTGCACTAAGAAAAAAAGATCTTTCCACTTGTACATGTACAGTATTTTTTTTAAAAAAAGCTTTTTACAGTGGAGAGTGGAAGTGTGAATCCAGCTGTACTTCCAGGTGAGTGCAGTTCTATTTTTCTGTACATTTTGTAGTTTGCAAACACATGAATTTCCATTTATCTTCAAGAAAGTGTATTGGTTGAATATGTTGCAGTGTGTTCAAATAGTTTTTTTTAATGAAGTTTATTCAATTTTCATTTTTAATTTAAACTAAAAAATCTTAATGTGATTTTTAAAAAATAAGTTATTGGGCTCATCTTTACTGTACTTATTGAAACAACGCATTATATAATTATTACTTTCTACTTGTATGAGGATGTGAAGTAATCTACAGTAAGATGTGGTAATAATAATCCTTGCATTTGATTGCACCTTACCACATTGTTGAGATGTCTCAAGAGCTTCACGCAAGATACTGTGAAGTGAATTGACTGTATTTTGTGATGCTGTATGTCGGGCAATTGAAATGTTTTTATGTTTGCAGTAAATATTAATTTGTCCTCAGAACAGCATCTTTATTGCAATTATTATTATTTTCATTATTGATAGTATAATTTCCAAGCTCAAAAACTGAATGACTAATTCAGGTAATTCTAATTCTGGTATTTTGCTGTTGCTTGAAGCATTGTTAGGAATTAGACTAGAAATGCTAAACTCATCTTTAACCTCTCACAGTTATCAGGAACTGGGGACCTTTAGCCCTTCTGTTTTTCTATTGCACTGCACCACCCAGCCATAATCTCGTATAAAAGTATTTATGGATTCTCTTACAGAAAGTGCTTAACAGTTGCAAACTAACAGCAGGTTCACTGTACCATCGCAGTGCCTTTCTCCAGTTGTGAAACAAAAGCAGGAAACATCCATTTCCCATTGTTGCAGAGTTGCTATTGTCCGTTATAGCTACAGTTACTATTCCATCTAGAATTGTGCAATGAAGTAAAAACAAATTATTGCTTCATGGTAATACGTAATTATGTTTAAGTCACACTGTTCACGTCTAGATTTTGCATAACCAACTAGTACCAGTAATAAAACATTGTATAGGTAGGTAGGGCCTACTTTGTTCTATGGTAAAACATAAGAGATGAAGCAATATCAGCAATTTGTTTTAAGTGCGGGAAAAGGGAAACAATTCTCTATTCCAAAATTTCTTCATAATGCAAATAACCAGAGCCTCGAGGAAGTCCCAGACAGCAGATGATTCTTCAACCATTTCTAACGCCATCTGTGACCAATAGATTGAAAAATGAATGATTCAATTTGTGATTTACTTCTATTTAAATTCATTGCGATTGAAGTCTCTTACAATGTTATGTATTGTAATAGGTCTATATATATATATAGTCATTTTTAGAAATCTGATCTGCAAAAATGATGGCACAATACAATATGCAATCAACAAGCAGGGAAAAGACCACAGGCAAATCTCAATCAAATAAATTAACTATGCAAATAACATTCCTGAGTGACGTGGTTTGGGTTTGGCCAGGAAGCTGATGGGAGACAATTTCAGAGTCTCAAACTGAAACATGGCACATAAAATCCTCACAAAATCTACTTCCATGTCATGTCGGTTGCAAAGTGTTTTCTTCAGTACACTACATATTGAGAGAGAGTAGTCTAGCATTTAACATCGAATAATAGTGTTGAAAATGTTTGTCCAAGATATTAATGGGTTTAAATTGCATCGCGGAAGAACAGTAAACCAGCTAAGTCATTGGCATCTTCTAGACACCCTAGAGGCCTGTTTGTATTGGCGATCGTACAAAACCATATATTGAAGAATGCTCAGCGGCATACTAGCAGTTTCTATGATGTAACCAATATAATTTTCTGGAAACTTTTTCTGTGTATAAATGTGGTGAATCTGTAAAAACATTGTCTGGAATTTTAAATTGTGGTTGGGTTTCCTGATCTACTGACTCTTTCCTAAATATGGTTACCCATATTTTGTGCCGGACAAGATGGACTGGCAATTTGTTTTGAGAAGGGAACAATTTAAAATAAACCTCGCATTTGATATAATCGAGACAACTCAAAGCCCTTCACAGGATTTATAGTAAAGTGCAGTGAGTGTATTCATAGACAAATGCGGCAGCCAATTTACATACAGCACTATCCCACAAACAGCAATTAAGTTAATGATCGATTTTATCTGGGGGATTGTCGGCCAAGACAGTGGGAGAAACTCCCTTCTCTTTTCAAGGAATTTCAAGGGATCTTTAATGTCCACAGTTAGCAGCAGCCTCATGGTTATCAACATCACAAGAGGCCTTTCTTTGTAGCTTAGGCACTGACCACGGGAGGAGTACTTGGTTCTTATACTTAACAACAACAACAAGATTTCATTTAGAGAGCGCCTTTCACGTCGGGAGGATGTCCCAAGGCGCTGGACAGTTGGGTCAGGACCCGAGCAGGGGGGGAAATGGTCAGGGTGAGGGAGGGAAGGGAGGGAGCGAGGAGGAGGTAGAGAGTCGAGAGGGGAGCCAAAGGCACGATTGAAGAGAACTTAAATCGAAAAGCATAATTAAAGGTCATTTCAACTGAGTTCAGTTTTCAGGGCTAATTCTAATCAATTAAGAATGTTAATGTTGGAGAAGCCAAAGGCTTTAGTTTCTCCAACATTAACGTTCTTAATTGATTATTACCAATGTATGCCCTGTTCAACATCATGCAAGTTAAAATTGATTGCATTGTGATTGTGAAATAATTAGAATCTCTTAACTGCAAAGACATAAATGTTTTCAAATTATTTTAGATGTTGGGCATCATCTGCAGTAGCATCAGAATCATTGCGTTCACAGGGAAAACAATCAGATTCTGAACTCAACTGTTACGGATTCCACAGGGATCAAAATAATGTTTAGTATAGAAGAATAGGGAGAATTCTAGCTTTATATTTTTGGATATGAAACAGAAATGGTGTCATCTGGTAGGAATACAAAATGCAAAATTTTTTGTCATCAAGACAGATAGAGTATCTGTCTTAGTCAGCCATTCGGCAAGAGATATGAGGTTTCCCTAAGATGTGGCTTTCGGTTTTAATCACCTAAGGTACATTGATACCATTGGGTTTAACTTCTTAACTCTCAATAAACAACTTGGTTACCAAAACAGTAACTAAGCATTCTGAAGACGCCGGCTGATCTAATGGCTGTAATGAACCATTTAAGTTTTGCATTTAATTCCCACTTATTCTAAAATCAGTTTATATTACTTGCCAGATTTAAGGATGAGGGATTGTTTTTTTTATCTCTAATCTCTTAAAAAATGGTTAGGTTTCTCTTTTTCCCTTCTACTTAGGTACATTTCCACAGTTGCTGGCCTCCCTGCTGCACCTTGACCAAATAACCATTATTCACATGTGACCATTGAGTGTGAATGCTGATGTGCTGTTTGACTGCAGGAGGAGGGTGGGGAGGAATGTAACCATTAGCCTTGCACTTCTCAGCAGGTGCCCCGGAATAGCAGCCGTTAGAACGCTGGTTGATTTCATTCCCCTCCCTAACCCTGGGTCGTGAGGCTAATTCAAGCATTGTGGAGTCCTGTAGCTCAGTGGTTAGAGCACTCGCTTTACAAGTGAGAGACCTGAGTTCAATTCCAGGCAGAGGGCGAAACCAAGTTTCCTTACTCCACACAGAGCCTAATAATAATCCCTCCAAAACCAAAAACAATAATAAATTGGTCATTTTCAATCTACGACTGTTTGTGGGACATTGCTGTGCGCAATTGGCTGCCGCGTTCGCCCACAAATATACAGTCAATTCACTTTACAGTGTGTTCTGTGAAGCGCTTTAGGACGTCCTCCTGACGTGAAAAGCACTATATCAAATGCAAGGATTATTATTATTATTATCTCTTCTATCTCCTCATCCACCCTCATGCAATATACACTTCTCCTACTGCTGGTTACTCAATTCTCTCCTCGGAAGATGAAAAAATAAACCAAAAAGCTTGAGAGCCTTGGTTAATGTCTCCTGTACCCTGCTATACAGCTGCTGACATCAAATAGCGGATTATCCTCTCTTCCTTATGAATCTGTTTGGGTTTCTCTTGAATGACTGGATGCTATTTGCCAAATCAGAATCAAATGGGAGCCAGTTCCAGATGTCCACCACCCTCTGGGTGAAGAAGTGTTTCCTCGTGCCTAGCCTGAAGTGTTTCTCAAGTTTGAAGGTGTGACCTCTAGTTCTGCCACATGTTGAGTGGCGGACTTTGTTGTTTGTCATTGTTAATTCCATGTAGGATTTCAGACCTCAACAGCATCAGCTCTCACTCTCCTCTGCTCCACCATGAATAGGCCCAGTTACTTGAGCATTTCTCTATACTCATGGATCCCACCTGAGAAATTAAAATCAGTCTTATTGTCCTGGCCCATTTTTGCACTTTCTCCTGTGCCTATACATCCTACATCCTTAGCTAGTTAGGGATTTGGACCAAATGCAAGGATTATTATTTTATTATTAATCACATCCCTGAACATGAA